TAAGTTTTAAAAGGTTTAAAATATAATTACTTTAGTAGCTTAAAAATATAAGGTTAATTAAGGCTATTATAGCTATAAAATCTAGGGCTAGTTAAAGCTCTTTTATATTAAATAGATTAATTTAATAAGCTTCTACTAGTACCTTCTATTAGCTTATAATTTAAGCCTTAATTTTCGTACGATTAGCGCCCTTTAATATTAATTTATATTTTAATAAAACTTCTCTTTTATATTCCTATAATATAAGTTATAGCCAGAGCATTAACAAGAAAACTACATTTTCATTTTTTAAAAAAGCTTAAATAATTAATAATAAATCTAATAAAATACTTGAATTATAATAATAAATACATAAAATAGCTAATATTATAGCTTAATTTATATTTTAATAGAACCTCTCTTTTATATTCCTATAATATAAGTTATAATTAGGCTTATAGTAGCTTTAATTATCTTAAAACGCTATCTTTAATAGCTATTATATTATAATAACTATTAATAGTCTTTATAATAAATTACTAAGTAATTAAAAGAGCTTTTTAATACCTTTAATAGGCTTAAATATTAACCTAATAGTTATTTATAAGAAATTTAAGCCTCTTAAATTAAATTTTATTAAGGTTTATAATTATTATAGCCTTAAAGTTAATATTACTAGGTTAAGGTTTTTTAAAAGGGATAATAGTTATCTTATTAGGCTATTAAGGGTTAATTAAATGCTAAATACCCTAATTAATAGCGTACTTTTTAATAATAAAAATCTATTAAAACTAGCTTTTTAAACCTATTAGGGTTACTAATAAAAGACCTTTAATATTTATAGCTAGGTTAATTAAGTCTTTAAAGACCTTAAATATATTATAATTTAACGTTAAAATATCTTAAATTTAATAGTAAACTAGGCTTATAATTATTATATTAATAGCTATAAAAGTAAATTAAATAGTAGAATTATTCTTAATTAAAGCTATTTAAATACGAAAAATAAGCTCTTATTTATAGATATTAAGGTTAATTAATAGGTTACCTAAAAAGTTATTAATTTAAGGGGTTTTATAATATTTAGCTATTAAAGGTTTAGCTTTAATATAATAGTAATACGAGCCTTCTTTTAAGGCTTTTCGTACAATTAAAAAGCAGCTATTTAAGGCGTTTTAGGGCTTATTAGGGGCCCCGATAAATAGCAGCCATTTTCCATTGAAAGGGGCCTTTAGCGTTGATATTGTGTTACAAGAGAAGCACGCTTCGTACCATTTTTGATCACATTAATAGCGACATTTTTACTGTAGCATACCAGCATAGCCCACGGCTTACATGCATTTCAGTCAATTTAAAGAGTCGCACTCAAGAACATACGAAAACGACAGGCGAAGGATGTCAAGTTATTTACAATAATAATGATTAACCTTACTTTAACTGGTTTACTACATCTTTAAGATCCATACACTAAGAGCAAGGTATTCATCGCGTTTAATGCTAGAGTGCCTCCAATAAAACCTCTACTACTTGGTAACCGCGGACATGGTGACCTTAACTAGAGTAAGGCTCTATTGCCTTTCACTTGGTTCGCATACCCAGTAGCGCTATTATCGGCCGGCTGGAGCGCTTTGGCATGGGCTGTTATAAAGAGGTTTAGAAGAAGAGTAGAGACAGGCATTCTTAATAACTTGCATAGCCCCCTTATGGATGAATTTGTGAGATAAGTTGAGACTGTTTACAGGTTAGCATGGAAGTGAAAGAATGTAATTCCCTTCGCTCCAGATCCCATTGGATATCCACCTCATCACCGCGGTCTGCAAGACCCCTCAGTCACCTCTTCCTTTCATACGCAGCATTGTGTCAGCAAAGCGACGTTTCAGGAAATCATGCGCACCATGGATACCCCTTGCTACACGTGTCGCCGTTGACGTGTGGCGTGTCCAATGGCTCAGTCACCATGCAGGAAATGCACCCAGGCTGGGCTTCAATGCACACAAACAAGACCATCGATCGATCCAAGGTGCTGCGTACAAGACCACAGAGCGAAGAGACACGGCTTGAAGGAATTCGCGGCACTGAATAGGGTGGCTGTCGGCAATCATCAGAGTCTGAGCTGACAGCCAGGGGGCGAAGACAAACCCCCTACATTTACGAGGACTGCATAAAAACATGACGGGATATCAGTCCAAATCCTACTGAGCCCGTCTACCTGTCCCCCAGAAGCGACGAAATTACTACAGTGCACGTACACGAACTTGCTTAAATAGCCGAGTTTTACAAGATCGGAGCCCAGATATTTGGCAGACGCGTCATTGACGCACTTGTTGGGGAGACGACTGTTCAGGACCAACTCAGGCATCGACTTCTTGGTCTTATCCGTGAATTAAGAGGCAAGACAATTTGTTCAGATGCATTCTCTGGCCAATGGTTATTACAAACCTGGAATCTCATCAAACTGGGCAAAAAGACTTTCTGATAGGTTGCCTACAGAGGTTTAGGCTGGAAAGAAGATGCTTGAATGTAGTGAATTCTGAAACAGTACTTCGTAAAAGGAAGAACGGCAAGGGCGTGCGCCATCATGATGGATAAGCAAGATCGGTCGACTTGGGGGTCACTGGCTACTTATATAGACTTAATGCTTTACAGACGTAATTTGTCAAGTCTGAAATATATTCTGCTAATGATATATGAAATACTGCGCTATCTCTGAGAACAAGAGGTTGCAGTGCAATAATTAGGGTTGGTCCGGAGGCGACGGACGGTCCACCCCCAGCGGTTACTCAGCCTTGCCTTCATTCAGTCAACAGATCTTCATTCTCTTGTCAAAATCTCGTTTAAGCTTCCGAAAATCAATACAAGATGGACTGTGAATCTTGGCTTGTGTGGCTGTACTTCAATGACCGTGTTGACTAGCTGGGTATAGCTGAGCTGTATTTCTCCTGTGACTCACATAACGACAGAAAACGCTTGAACAAAGCACAGTTTGAGGATGATCTCGAATTCCTGAGGGAGTATCCAGAATATGCCCCGTGGCTTAAGGACAACCTGGAAATCGAGTTGTGGATTAAAATTGAGCCGTTTTGTAACCTCCCCAGGCAAGAAGAGTAACAACAGTCGCGGCTCTTATACGATATATGGAGTTAAATAGATGGTAAAGAATCTTATGCCTCGGGGCTAATTGGGTCGTGCAGCCAGGTGCCTCTCCTCGCTAAACAGCGGTGAAAAATTACTCAGCCTGTATCCCGCAGTTTACGACAGACCTCATGTTAGCCGCACCCCACCAACAAGCTCTTGACCTTGGTGTCGCGTCAAGTCAGGGTCCCCTCGCTAACCAGCGCTTGAGACTCCAGTTGCAGTCTGTATCATTGTGCGTCGTTGAGGGGAAACAGGCCCATCCGTCGTGTAGGGATCTGGCCGTGGATGCCTCATGGTCCGGGATAGCCACCGCTATCATTGCTAGCTGGTGGTACCGCTTTGAAGCATTTTGAAATCAGCCTAGAGCAGATAGGCAATTGGGAAAGCTCAATAAAGACACAGTCTCAAGGCTCATCAGCCCTATGCATGCAAAGAAACTTGCGCAGACTAGTTGGAGCACATCGTACGTCCACTCTAATCGTTTAGCTCGGCTTACGTGTAGACATCCGAACTACACGCTTTTTGAATCTATACAAATGGTGACATTCTAGCCATGTAGGTCTAATGGAAGCCAGTTATCTTGTAGTGGGTTGGCCAGAGGCCGTTTAAGCGGGCAGCTATGAGAAACAAGTGGCCAGTGTACATTCCTCCACTGGCACATACCAAGGACCACAAATCCCCATTGCCTGCCGTCGTAGGCATGTTCTAGTTGAGGGGGTTTGCTGCGTCCAAGGATTGAAGATATTATGGGTTTGGTGAAAAATGTGGCACGGAGTCTGCATCATCTGCCGTGAGATCCGCTGCGATGCCTTGCCGGCATCTGCCTTTACATAGTAATTCTCATAGCCGCGATAACTACAGATAAGGCCGTACTCTACTCATGCTCGCCGAGGAAAAAGGGAAAAGAGCTCGCGATGCCCTGGAAAAGTGCGTACAGATATGAAGCGCAGCCAGCCAATGAGCGAACGGAGCTCACTTCTATCTACACCATGGCTCACCATGGGGATGCCAATGTTTCTCTGGAGGCTAACGCAGAGGGTTTACTGCTAATAGCATAAAGAAGGGGACTTCATCCATTAGCATACAAGGTCTTCACGCATGACCAGGAAAGAGAAAGGTTATATTGCTTCAAATCACCGTAGAGTCTGATACCGACGCCGCTACGCCGAAAGAAGGAAATCCAGTGATTGTACCAATTCTGTCAATGGTCAAAGTATAGCTACTGAATACTTATAATTTGCCTAGTGTGTCCACTCATGAATACAGCTTGTCGTTTCGTAAGTCGATGTCGATGTTGGTGGAATTTAGTAAGAAGTAACTTTCCTCGCCATCTCCGAGTTCATTCCCCAGGCCATGCTAGACGTAACCTGAGCTTTAGGTCCCAATAAACCCTTTTCAGTGTTGTTGAAATAGTCAAAGGGCACCAGACTGAACATTGAATGTAAAATACAGGTCGTCTCGCCCCCACCGTTTCATGTTAATATGGCCTACCAATTCGCACGACACAAGGCTGAGTATGCCGTCCCCGGTTATCCAACAAACTCATTGTAATATTTCATCAGGTACCGTTCTCGAAGCTATTTTCGGTCTAGCGCGCTTTGTGAGGGGTTACATGCCGTTATTTTCTGGCTCATTTGCACGCGGATCCGCCCCGAATCGTCTCACTCTCCTATGAACAGCTAACCATCATAGGGCTCATAGAAGAGAAGAGCACACTAATTTCACCCTCTCCTATCGAACATCTTGTATCTTACAAAGGGAATGCTAAAATCGTTTCTTTGAAAGAAGGCCTTGGTTCGGTACCAGCAGGCAAAATCGCCTGTTCAAACCAGGATCCCAAAGCCAAATCTTCCAGAGAAGCAACTGCGACAACCACATTTGCAACTATGACACTCGACCAAAACGAGGCAGCCAGGAAAATGCCTGCCAATATTTCTGTCATCAGCTTTCCAGGGGCGTGGCATCCCGCCTCATGCATGAGCAGCTTCGTCTCAAGCCTGGACTCAATCGGACTCCCCACTGCGGCCTACACCCTTCAGAGTGTCGGGAACGCATCGACAGGAGTGTCGGATGATGCGGACTATATGCGATCTATCATGAATTCTCTGATTAATGCCGGCAAAGACGTGGTGCTTGTTTCTCACTCTTATGCTGGGTTCCCAACAACCTGGGCCATCTCCGGCATGGACAAGCGTGGCCGTGAGGCCCGCGGCGAGAAGGGCGGCGTATTGGGCGTCATATACCTTTCGTCATTTGTTCCGAAAGAGGACGAGACTCTGTATGGCCTGCTAGGTAACCAATGGTTTCCCTGGATCAAGGAAGACGTAGGTGTCTGCTATGCTTCCACGCTGCCAAGAATTTGTGCCATCTGGACCTGACTCCAGTCATAGGAAACCAAAAAATTCATTATTTGCTCAAACGAGGGCCACATCTTCTACAATGATTGCACTCACGAGCAAGTAGAAGTCGCAACCAAGTCTCTGAAGCCCCGTTCCCTCAAGGCTACTAAAGGCAAGGATGCTATCCCTAAGAATATAGGCTGGCGGGAGTCAGGTTATGATGGCCGTCGTGGGTACATCCGCTTGACTGAGGACAACGCTATTCCGCTGTCGTACCAGGACTACTTGATCAGCCGATCGGGAGTGAACTGGTCCGTTAAGACACTCAATGCGTCTCATAGTCCATTTTTGTCGATGCCTGATGCTACGGCCGAGCTTGTTCAAGAGCTTATTCAGGAGTTCCTCGCTGCTTGAGCGTAGCTTATATCTCGAAGAATAAGGTGCTACAACTCTATTACCCTCATGTTGCTAACCGCATGCATCTCGCTGACTAGCGGTAGGAATCTCTATGTGATAGCACTGAGTTATTGTGTGTGGCTCTCCAATAGGTTTTTCATCCCACTGGGGAGCTACCTAGTTATACTAGACAGCAAACTGGTACGGTTTTCCTTATAGGAGATTTAGTTGTAGAAGTACAAGTTATATCGGATGATAGAGCCGCTTAGCTAGATTAATCGGCAAGAATGGTAATGATAGCAGTATATGCTGCGAAATTTCTCTTTTTGTTTTCCATTATTAAACGGCTTATTATATTGTTCCGGGGAAAAAATCCATAGAGCGTTATCGACTCCCATCGTACTTGGCGCTGGTTACAGGCCTTGAAACACTCTATTCGTAATAGCCGTCTTATCTTAGACATGGGGCAGCTTTATTAAATTAATTACAGAAGAATATGAGAAAAGGGGCTAAATGCAGAATATCTAGGAACACTGTATTTTAGCCGTACCTAGGCCAGGGAACCGTAACTAACCACGCAATACACCATGAATGCATTGCGATGCGTAAGACATACTAGGCCAAAAAAATATATAAGCACCATCAGCTAGTTTATCCATATTGTGGAGGGACGGGGATGCTTTATAATGTAATTTGAAGAATAGATCATAGGACAAAAACTGTAATTAACAACTGGCGCAATACCTTGTAGGCCTTTTGACACCTGATTACAGAGCGAAGGATAAATTCTCTCGAAAAAGCAACGCAAAGTAATACAGCTCAAAAAGTGCCAGAAGTGACGAGATGAACAATGTACGATTTATTCAAGATCTATCCACTCAAGATAGCCAATGCCGCTTAAAACCTTGTTGCGCCACTGGTCCATAAAATTGTAGGAAGCAACATATCCTTGGCCATGACGATAGCGTAGAAGAGAATAAACACTGGCAACGAACCTTATTACCTCTTCGTTATTATCATGTACAGTCTATTGCATCCGCTCAGGTGCTCGCATTGTGCGGCCTCGAGAATCCGTGATGGGATGTTTACGAAGGCGACGTCCCAGTAGACGAGAGCCTCGCCGTTGAGATTGCGGACATGTGCTAACCTGCATAGAGTCATGCCATCCGCACGCATGTCAGTTGGCAGTAGCTGAGCGCATTCATCCAGGTGAAGAATTTGGTACGTGAAAAAGTGCAGCGGCCTCTTCAGTTGAGGAACCGAGTGTCGACTAAGCACTAGAGGATCTAGAGGATTCATACTGCGGGCATACTCAGCTGGACACATTCCAACAATCTTAGTAGTGCCACGATCGTCCGTAATACTACCAATAAACGTAGCAAGCAGACTTAGGTGATCATCAATAGGGCTTCTAACAAACCAGGAAACTTGCTTGGTAGCCGAGATCTGGAGATCGACTTTCATATGACGATACCAGCCCGCCACCGTGAAGTTGGGGTAGTTGGATGTGATGAAATGATCGTCTCCCCAAGCAAGGCGGGAACCGCCTGCAGCAAAACCGCAGGTACTCGCTGCGTCATAGGCCTCGTAGTGCCGATGGTTGTGGAGTTTACATATTAAGGGCGGGTTGCAGAGACGAGTGACGCAGGCAGTTATCACCGACATCATCTGCCACCACGTCCCGCTCGATATATCCAATGGTCAAATGTTGACTAGATATAAGCATAGCGGGTTACGGGAAATTGTCCCTCACCATGTGCGGGCGCCAACCGAGTGGCGACTGGAGTTTTTATTCATTGTATCAAGGTGCCATCCAGACGACCTGCAACTATTTCAAGATCCCGCCGAGCCTTGCGAGAAAGGCTCCGTCGTAACATCAGTGCGGGCTGTGCCATACCATCATTATGCCTCATACTGCGATGGCGGCTGTCACAGCCTGGGTTTTGACAGGTTTGTCCTTATTCACTCCTCTTCATCACACCTATTGTCTACCGAGGCTCATAGAATCAAAGCTCACTGTCACTATCCCATGAGCTGTTGATAGGCCCAAACCGAACCATAGACGGACTCTGGCGCAGAGCAACTAGAGTCTGCCCACCAGCCCATTCTAGTGTGCTGGCCTCATCCTCGTCTTTGAAGTGGAAACCAATCTGGAAATACGTCGTGTCCCATCTTGTGAATCGCGCTCGCCTAGCCTGCTCGTCGTAGTCCGGTGCCCACTAAAACACATCACCCTGAAGATTACGAAGTTGATACGTTTGTTTCTCTCTACCAAAGAATAACAACTCCAAAAGATGCGAGTCCTTGAAGCTCTGCCTGATATCAATGAAGAAATCGCCAGGCGCGTTTCGATAACGGCCACAGTAGACCTCGAGCGGCCGCGGGTCCATCCTAGGTTTATCCTCCGTGATCTTGTCAAACTCGGCTTTCTTGCAAAAACGTTTCTAACCTTCGGCTGGCGGGACCTCTGGGGTATTTTCAAGGTAGTCTATAGTATTCCTTGACCCGTGGACAGCGGTCGCGACGAATTGAGCGATCCAGTCTGCCGCGTCGTTGAGGGCCATCGAGTTTGTTAACACGACGAAGTCCGATTTTGTTTTGGGAAATAAGTAAATGGCCGAGTAATAGCCTGAACCCGCGCCCTGTTGGGAGAAGGTCTTGTTCAAGTTTTCATCATTGCATGTGCGTGGAAGCTCGTCTAGGTCAAGCAACTCCGCGTTATCGCCCTGGAAACCAATAACCCCGGGCAGGTGTGTCGCGATCCAATCCATGCCATAGGGCCCGAAACTCTCATCAGACTTGACAAGAGGAATATGCCCCTGGAAAAGATTCTCTAGAGGGCTAGACTGGGGATCTGTTTGGGCCCGGAAGATCGCCTGGGCATACTTGAGCATGTCGTTGACGGTTGAAAACATGCCGCCTGCCAGCTCAAACAAGCTTCCTTTGGCTCTCCGGAGGTGATGGGGCGTTCTCTAATGCCGAGTAGGCTTCGGCGAAATCGCTGTCTTGGTCGAGAATGGGCCGCGTGGTTGTGTTGGCTAGTCCCGGTTGATCGAGGATAGTCTCGCGGATGTACTGGTAAGCGGGCTTGCCCGAAAGCTTCTCGATAACTGACCCGGCGACACTATATCCCCAATTATTATACACCCATGACTTGCAGGATGGATCAACCGTATCTAAGCGAGACACAGCTGGAAGAGTGTCGGACGGAGCAAGGATGAATTCCAGGTCACCCTGAAGGGCAATAGACATGTCTCCGGATAGAGGCGTGCGATGCGAAAGAAAGTCAATCAGAGCAACTTTTCCATCCAGCGCCGACTGCTCAGGTTGGTACTCGGGCAGTATATCCTGGATTGGCGTGCTCCAGGTGACTCTCAGATGCTTACGGAGTAGCTGCGCTAAGCTTGCGGCCATAAAACCCTTTGTAGTGACCCTATTTCGTAGATGGTATCCGATGTTGGCGGCAGCTTTGCAGCGACGTCTCTGTGGCTGAGATGTGTGGTGTAGATGACCTGGTCCTCGTGGAGGACGCCAGTCGAGGACCCAGGAACACCGGAGATGTCGCAGATTTGGTTGATGACGTGCAGAGCTCCCTCGAGACGGTTGATGATGTCTCGTGGCTTCATAGCGCTGTCTTTGTGGTCATACTTTGGGGTCATTGCCTGGCATCAGCCGCGATTGTTGTAGTTGATAATCAGAGCATGTGCAGCTTGACGATTCGAGATGAGGCCATGTCGTCCTACCACGCTTTAAAGAGGCTCCAAACAAGCGGCCTGGCAGGACTCGCGGCGCAGCACATGGTCCGGCGGCGAAATGAGAATGCCTGCACGGACGAGGATCCATGGTGAGCAGGCAGTGCCAGCGAAAAGGGCAAGAAACCCATTGTGACCAAGGAGAATTAAGTCAATGGTACAAATACAAGAGGTTATGGGAGATTCAGCTTACTCATAACACAACACTGGTAGCACTTGAGCACTTGGGGGAATGTAGGGGCTTCCGGAGGAGATAATAAATAGCATTGAACCTTCCCGACGTTTCATACTAGCCATGTTTTGCTCTCCGTTAGCATTGGTTTGTAAAGTGCCTCGGTCTCCGAAACACCTTTAGACATAGTTACCAAGGGCCAAGATTTACTACAGGCTACTATCACGGCGCGATTAGGGTGCCGTACACTTCCCAACTCAACATCTAGAACAAGTGTCTAGGGTACGCATGCTGGAATGCAAGTAAATACTTCAAATATACTCTATAAACATGCCGTTCGGGAGACGCGGGCCTTCTTGATTGAAATCCTGCTCAATAGAGATCTCGTCTTCGGTTCCAACGGCCACAATCTCCCACTGGAGAACGTCCCCAGTCCTGACCTGGAATTCTCGGATCGACGACGGCATACCGCCCACAAAATCAAACCTCTTGCTGTTGGGGTTGAAGCGCAGACGAGCGAGCTGCATATTGCGCATATTACCAGATGGGGTATTGTTAATATCAGTAATATTAGTGCTGAAGATATCGACTGTCTTTTCACCACTGACGCTGTCGCCATTGCTCAAGTGGCCGGCGAAGATGCTCGCCGTACAGGTTCTGTTATCTGCCTGTGGAGGTACTTCGAACGATAGGAGAGTAGAATTCTCACGCTGTCCTTGGCGGACAGTATCGATGCGCCTCGAGGGAGTGTTTCCATTGTCATTGATGCTGTGAACCGCCATTGCGTTGGGCAGGATGTAATGACGAGAAACGTTGCCGCTAGTTTCAGAATCCATTTCAAAGGTTTAACTCGTTAAAGTCGTTTGGGGTATTGCCTAATTGAAAATATTGTCTTCAAGGATCAGAAGTCGAATTCGATACGAGCAATGTCTTTAAATGGTGATCGCGCCCATAAATGTAGCGATGCGGACTTGAAGTCTGGACTGTAAGCCTCAATATCACCAGTCGCGACCGACTCCCGGGGTTCCGATGCAAGTAAGTGCTCAGCTTTGTGCTCTTTATTGGAATGGAATTGTACACGTCGATTCTCCTCAAGCCGGGACAATTAGTAACGAGAGAATATGGCTTATTTTTTTTCAGCCGTTGATTATTTTACTTTGTTAGCCGGCGAGTTTTTTTCAAAGGGACAGCCACCTGATGTGACTCGCCGGTCGTGACGTACATTGTGAAAGCCAACATTCCTTGCCCTCTTGAGGTGCTTCTATGACCCGTTTCGTGATACACCTCTCAATGTCCTGGCTTGTTCCACACTGGGAAGTTATTTAGCGAATTGCGGCACGCGCGGGAGGAAGCAACACTCACTTCCGAGGGCTGTTCGGGGCTCTCCCGCAGTGAAGCGCTTCACAGGATCGTAAATGGCCCCTATACGCATTTTCTCATGTGTCTAACCCAGAAAAGTCTTGTAATTACTGAGGGCTGTGGTCAGGGATTTCTGTTTTGAGCCATTGCTTGGCTCCTGGGTGCTAAGCCCATGACATATGAGGCTCTCTCGAAGGTTATGAGCTCACAGGTCTGATCGGATTATCGGCCTGCAACTGAAACGCGGCGAACAGTCTGCCGATTTCAAGTACCAAGCCGAGGACCCGAAAGTTGAATAAAATCAAGAATAGATCTGCATTCCAAATAACAAGATCTAAGTGCCACCGCTACCTGGCTTTATTGGCCCCTCCTCCCCAGCCCACAGCATGAAACTAACCACAAATATGTCAAGAATTTAAAAATTGCTGCGTATTCCTCATGTACGTCGTACGTAATTACAACCGCGCAAGGCGGAAGCTTCATGCCATGGCGCTAGTGGCTTATAAAGTACCTTTATTCACGCGAGATCATGAGATCCTACATACTTGGCGTGTATGAAAGTTGGGGGATTTTGTTAACAAATACCTCAGAGCTTATAACATTAGGCTGGGAAAGATGGTTTATCATGGAAGTATATCTTGTTTATTAACTGGCTCGTTTAGCAGACCTGCTAGCTTTGAGTGCGTGACCGTATATTTTTCAGCTAGACAACCGGGTGTCGCAGTACTGCAAAGAATTACATCAAGTTACCGAACATCTCGGTGACTCCTAATAACTTATAAATGATGAACCTTGCTATGTTGGAAGTTTCGGTTCACAAGTGTGGGATGTGCGGGGAGCCAAGCCACGTTTCACGTCCCGTGCACCATAGCAAATTCTCTCCCGCCATAACCCAGAAAGGTTATGAGAATAAATGGGGCAAGAGTAAGTGAACCTCAGAAATTCCCGATCAACCTTGATTCTGGAGAGTGTGTTGTGGGTTTTTCAACGTAATATTTGCCGAAAGAGTATGAAGACATTGTAAAAAATAAACTTACTGTAGGTGGATTAAACGGATTACCGATTGTGGTGAGTAATATCACTCGAAGAGATTTATGACGATGTGGCCAGCCACATGACAACCGATCTATGAAGTTTGAAACCGGAAAGGGACATCCCTCTTGATTAAACTTTGAGGGGTAGCAGTCTATTCCGTGTAAATAACCTCAAAAGTCTATTGAAAGGGAGTCTTACAATCTCTCATGCCAAAGTCTAATGATGATGTTAATACACCCTACATTTTCCATTTGACAAGGATTTCAATGGAGCGCGACAGTGGGCATCTAGAACGCCATAAAGGTTCTTTCGGCAAAGCATCGTTCATCATTTATGCGCCACGATTGAAGGGTAAGGCGAAGACTTTCACTCAAAAGCCGTTGGCACATTGACATGCCTAACCAACCACATATTGATGCGGGGGGGATAAAGTTCAATTGTCCGGCAGCTCCAAGTTATGCTTTTCAACATACCCGACCTTCCGAAGCCTGGCAAGTCTGAATCATCTATTCAAGATGTTCCAAGCCAGTATACTTTGTTAGCTAAAAGCAACAAAGCCCATGACAAACCTGTATTGGGCACTTGGTCATCCGTGAGTGCACAAAGCATCAAGGCCTAGTACGGGACATCGGGGAGAAATCCACGAGTTCATCGCCGCGCAGAACTTACATCATTGTCGAAGTAATTCATGCTATTCTATGACAATGTTTTAACGGGTCAGAAGAGAGTTTCAATGCCAGCGAAGCTGAGTCCACGTGTATCCACAGAATATCCATGTAAGCAGAAGTCGCCACGAAATGACCCGTGTTTTGTGCTTCAATAGATGGACGTGGTTGTCTCAGAAAATGAAACATGGTTGGCCACGTCCATTTTTTGGTTCTTTTCGTCTGACATGATGTGGTGCCACAGATGTGACTGCGTGTTCAGCTAGGAGGTAAAAAATCTATATAAGCTGCAGGAATCTCCCAGGTTTGCTATGTGCGTTCTCAGTCCTACTCCCACCAACACCTTCACCAAAGAGAAATAACTTGAAATCATCATAAATAGTTCCCTGCTAATACTTGAAAACCCATCAACATGAAGTTCGTCACCGTCGCCGTTGCCGCTCTAGCCTCCGTCGCTGCTGCCTGGCCTTACGAGAGCAAGTGCAAGCCAGCTACTTATAGATGCCAGCCTTACCATCAAGCTTGGGAAGTTTGCAACACCAGGGGCGAGTGGGTGGTAAGTACATTGCTCAAATGACAAGGCCAAACAATTGTGCTAATGATGGTCTTAGTTTGCTGGCCGCTGCCCACCTGGCACTGTCTGCAAGTTCAATCAACAGAATGGGAGCCCTTACTGCCTCCCTCGCCGCCACGACCTCTACACTGAGGAATTCGAGGAGTTCGAGATCTAATATGTCCTCATGTCGAAGCTAAGAGATTCAAGATTTTGCCGGACTGCTATAGAGTCAAGTTTGTACACTCATTCAGGGATACACTAGCCAGTGAATCTTGGACTAGCTTTAGTATAGTTTAGTGCCTTTAGGCATCTTGAATATACTATCCTTAACCATTTATAAGTTGGAAACAAACCAGTGTGAACGTGATGCCGAGAGCAATATATTAGTGTTACGGCATGGGAGTGTCTAGTGTGGGGAATGGAATTAAAGTAGAGCGCAGGCACCACAAAGTAGCAATTGCTACAATTGTAAAGGCGATTAATACAATTTCAGATACTTGTTTCATATTAGTGGACACAATTTGTACAATTCTACCACAATATCCTGGCAAACGTTTCGAGATTACATCAATTGTAACCACATTCGCGCAAACTTCCCGGCACTACCTTGCAATTTTACCAATAGGTTGTCATATTCTTCCGCGGGACGATATAGCGCGCACGGCCCCATAATGTACTGGCTCATTTAGGCCGTCCGCCTAATAGTCGCAAGAAAGTAATATATTGGTATGCGCCTACTCAATGCTTTCATGAATAATCCCCAACTCTGAGTTTACAACGGAAGCAGGTTCGCATGCCGCCTTAGCTCCGATTTAAAGCCATAACATTCAACTGAGGATGACATGTCACTTGATTATCTCATTTAATTCTGAACGACATTAAAGCACAAACGACCCTTCATTCCACAGTTTCGTGAATGGATAATGTGTCTTGGAGCTCACGAGGTCTGTTCAAGCTTGCTATTAGTGTCCAAGTCTTATTAGGGAATGAGAATAAGGCTAAGCAAATACAACAAACTATATAATATTACGCTCCTGAAGAACTGAAGCTCCACGTCCGCAGCATGGCGTATATGCCATGGTATTACTCCCTTTCCGGCTTCCATCTTCGACCCTAGTGTCATAAGTTTCCCATCGTTCAATGCTTCCACAACTAGCTGTTGTTCTTTCTGGCCGGGCAACAAGCCGATTCGAAAGCCCCCTATCGCTTCCTTTTCCGAAGAGAGACTCCGCTGGCTCTCCTGTTGGATCTGGCTCCCCACGAGACCGTGCACATACTGTCACAACTTCACTTCTGCCCGCAAATTCTTAAAAGAGAGTGTACATGATCTCTTCCACCCTCCCTTCTTCCGCATTGAGCCCTGCTGTCCAAGTGCGCTGTTTGTTCAGCTGCTCGGCTGTTCATTGTTTGGCTCCTAGTTGCTCACAGTCTTCCTGGTCCCAGACAAGGTCCATGTGCCTCATCTGGTCCTAAAGCTCCCCTTTCTCATTTATTGCATATCCCATCGATTTAAATAGTCGCATGGTCTTCCCCTCCTGTGGGTTGCAAAGCGTAACCCCTCGATCCCTCAGATACTTCCATGTCTGTCTGATAAACTTATGGGCTTTCTTCTCAGGAACCCTTGCTTCGATCTCCATAAGATGCAGCCCTCCAACCACCACGTCGTCGAACTTGGCCTTATGTCCGTTGATTCGTATCTTCCACTTGCCATTCGGGTAAGGCCCGTACTCAACGAGCGCACTCCAATTCACATGTTGATACCTTTCCGCGAATTGAATCTGCTTCTCTCGCCAGATTTTCCCCGGTGACGCTGGATCCAGAGGACATCGTTTCTCGCAGTTGTACGTGGGTTCATTTCTGCCATAGCGATCCCATCCGCATTCTACAAAGTCTGGTACATTGGCGGTTTCTTCATCGAAGCTGACTTTGACAGTGGACAGCGGCTGACCTTTATTTGTCTTCGTTCGAAACATCATGCCCGAGAATATGTGGACGGGAGGCCTTTCGTCGTAGTATGCAATCGGATTCTCTTTGTAGGGTGGCGTAGTCGCATCGAGGCCGAGCTTTGCGAGCGTCTCCTGCGGAGTTGAGTCGCAGATAGCCCATTGCAGGCTGATCTTGTTCTTTGCCCTAGCAAAGGAGAGTGCAAAGAGGAGGATCGAGTATAGCGTAATTTGATGCATTGGCTTGGTCCGGGATAGGCGGCGTTTCGTTTGAGACGGAAGATTGCCAAGTTGAAGAAGGCTTATACGTGGGCATAATAGCCGCGAAACACTCGCTATAGGCAGATTCAGTTCATCCTAAAGAATAGCTCAGGGATTTTAAGAAAAGATCGTGAAGACCCAGAGGCGAATAAAGTAGTAAAGTCGATCGCTTTGCGTGCTTCGAACACGTCACAGTTATCGAGAAATGACGTGATGAAGCAGTTGACCTTTCAATGCCTCTAGGGTAGTGGCCGTTGCGGGTTATGCACGTACGGAGTTGCTCTTGAAAATTGCCAGAATTCGACGCTTCTTTATGTAGTTTCCAAGTCAGCTCAGGGCTTTTAGATAATGTACGGTATAATGTTTAGGTTTCGTGATGGCTGTTGAGGTGGAGCGTGGCCGAAAGGGAGGTCATCAAGGTACTCCGTACCTAGGTAGTTGGGCAGCTACCTGACCAGCTATGTTTCAAATTCACTCCTCACTTTGTACTCCGTACTTGAGCTCTTACTAATCTTAAAGGGCCTTTGTCTTGCACAGCTGTGGCTTGTGTGGGCATCTGACACACGCGTAGAAGCACCGAGGACAACCCTATGAAGGACGGGTCGCCATCGCACCATGACATCAGCGGCTGCTGGCATAGAAACGGTAATTTAGAATTTCCAGTCAACAATCTTTCCTGACTACGGAGTAGTTACCAGGGAGATAGGGATCAGCTCAGCTCTCGTGTCTCATTTGCGGTTGGGTTATTCAGACGGAAGACTCCACATACCGGGAGCGGCCCTTCGCGATCGAGGACCGCCGAAAACGGCAGTGGAATATGATTAAGGCGCATAAGCAGCTGCTCAGCCAGCCAAGTGACAACTGATACCGGCCATGGCTTTCTTGCGAAGAATTTGAACATAGGGTTCTACATATGCTGTATATATATTTCAAATATACCAAGGATCTTCTATACCTGTTGAATTCAAAATGTGCCTTCGGAGTCTGTCGATCGCGATAGTTGCTTTTTCCAGATCTGAAATTATGTCTCAAATTGATGGTAACGGTACAGGGATATTCAGGGCGGTCGGACCGTGTCACACGCGATTACGCGGCATCTAGGGTGTGACATACGGGCTATGATCACGAAACCTAGGGCATAAGGCTCACCGACTTTTTGGATAAATAGAGCTCTTTAATCATCTAGGCCTTGAAGGAAACCAAGGACCTGAAATGCCAAAGATTATTGCAAGATGAACTGAACCGCGCTGTTCCAACCCCTCTACTGAGCCCTTGTCATGGACCGGATATAAAAGGGCAAATATGCAAGATTTCCAGGGGCATGTCATAATGGTGAGTAAAATATCAATTCCTTAAAACTCATCATATTTAGCGTCCTTTTCGCTGCACAATTCGCTCGCAAATAAAGCTGTTAAAACCAGGTATAGGGACAGTAAACTAAGCAGCTACTATGAGTACCTAGGTATTGATAACATAGGCTGGGGCAGAAAACGGAACAAAGTGACGTTTATGAAGTCTATCTTTCGATTGTAGTAACGCTTTCATCTATCTCTGCTAGGGAAACCAAAGGGCTAGGACTAGCGGTAGACTAAACCGGCGAGCCACAGCTTGGAGAACTGTTTTCCTAAGACATAAAGCAGACTGTATATATTTTAATACTCGGAGTATTTGAGTTTTATCCTAACGGTGTCACTTTTGTTGTAGCCTCAGCGCACTGGGGACCCTTAGGGGAACAGCTCTTTGGCGTAGGCCTCCAAGAAACGCCCATCTCTGTACTCACTGGCTTCATAAGCCCGTGTTGCAATCGCCAGAAATTCTTGGGCGGAAACTTGCACATGGAGCAACTCTCTATCGTATGGATTATCTGGGAACCCTGCCTTCCGCAAGGTAAAGAGCCGGCCCTCAGCGTCCTTTTCGGCTCGCGACACTGTTGAGGAGAGGCAAAAGTGCCTTCATTGGCGGGACAACGATCATTGCTTTGAAATTACGGAGACGGAGATGGCCTGGGCAGAAGTAATGACTGGCATATCCGACACTCAACGGTGGTTCATGGAAAACTTGCAAAATCACATGGCACAACTAGAAGCATTCTCAGGCACAGCATTCCATGGTAGTGGCCATGACATAGCTAATGACATTTGATGTGCGTCGTGTAACATATGATATCTAAACTACAACATGAATAATAAGGGATAGATGGTATCTGCTCTCTCTGTCCTGGCGGTAGCGTTGGCTTCACGAAGAGTTGCCGTTGTCTGCGCACGAAAAGGCTTGGCCAATAGTGCTGTCAGCGTATGCGTCAGTGATGTTGTGCACAACGCCATACGTCCCAGCAATGGTCATGAACACGGCTAGCAAAATCAGAAGCCAGTTCAGCAAGTACACAGTAATCTGCCACCAGTTTCCTTTGCGGTAGTGTCCATGGTCGTAGATCCAAAGGGAACTAGGCAAGCCGAGTGCAAGCGGAGCAAAGGTCAAGCTGCCTGCAAGAGCGAGTAGATAATTGTAGATGGGAATGCCGGATGCCACCAGAAACGAAATGACGGCTACGCTAAGCGTACATCCAAGCCGGGTAGTCCAATGCACCCACGAGTTCTTCTGCAGATGATCTGAATTGCGCAGAATGCGGACAAAGAGATACTTGGCCACGGTATAGACAGCATGCGGCTGATAGCCAAACCGGCGATTCCGATGCCGTACGACACAATTTTTATGGTGTATCCAGCGCTGCCGAGAGACGGTGAAGCAACCCACAGGCCGCAACATCTATAAAAGACCAGGGAGAAAGTCAGATAAGAGGCGGTCACTACACCCATGCACAAGTATACGGCCTCGTTGTAGTCTCTCGGCTTTCTCATTTCCGAGATGAAGGGAAGGAAAGCTGATGTTCCAGCTCCGAAGCAGAAAACGGTGGCAACTGAAGTAATGCCAGTAATGCATGTCGGATTACCAATGACGTGGCAACCGAGATCGAAGTCGCCGGTTTGGGGAGCAGCCGCTGGACAGCCTTGAGGTGTGACACCAACACTGAGAGCGTAATGCTGGTATTCAGCGAGAAAAAGTACACGGTTATTGGGGGTAAGCCGTACACGACGATAAAGACGGCAATGTACACCGAGAGGAAGCTAAGCCAGGTAAGCCACGCAATCTTCTCAAACTTGCGGATGCTGCTCATGAGAAACACTAGGGCAGCAGCCACCAGCATGGAGTAGTTCGTGCAAATGGCATGATTTCACAAGGCGTTGAGAGCCGCGGAGGTGCCGAATATTCTTGACGCGCAGACAATAGTGTACGTCACAAGGAAGAAGACTCCCGTGACCTCTTTTAACCACAGCCCGCCAACCACTTTGGTCATGTCTGCAATGGAATGGCACCCGGCATGCGCGTTGCGAAAGTTGCCTTGGATAATGGCACAATATGTGTTGAGAAACTGCCACCGAAGAACGTTGATGGCGCCCGGAAGTGCTGCCAAGACAAACATTGCTGAGAAGATCGTAAGAACACCAGTTGCAAAGATGACTGTCTCGTGTTGGTTAGGGTGTCTTTGCTTCAATCATCGTGGATCTCACCTTTGAGGAAGATGACTGAGGCATGGACCCATCCTAGCACTTTGTTAGCCAACCTGTGTATACTGATCTTGAGGAGCTAGATGAAATATGACATACCGACTGTTCGAAAGTTGACGGCTCCCTCGCGCGTCTTGAAGACTTCGAAGGCGTCATTGTCAAGTTACACACCTTCGATGCTGTCACTGCTGCGGGCCGGGGCCGGTGTAACAGCGTCAGACTTTTCTGGATCAGACATGATTATGGTAAACGAGGTCGAAGGTGGAACCGCTAGGTTGGATGATGTTGGATATCGAGATGTCGACGGTATATAAGTCCACAACCACCACTTATCAACGCTCGGCTTATCGTGGTGGTTGAACAGTTCCGAGCAACACGTACGATAATAGCCTTGTCTACCCCGGAAAATAATAAGTTTATCATCGGTCTCTCAGCAGGAAACTAGGGATCTTTGTGGGGTCAGAACATCGTGTCATAGACGCTGGGGTTGTTGCACATTACCCCAAAGATACGGGGCGTGGAGGGAGATGTGTCTCCGGGCTACGCCACGGTATTCTCTATTTTCTGCTCTTTATCTACTGTGTGATAAGATGGCTTTATTTATCTAGCAGGCGAAAAGGCAGATAAAATAAGCCTGTAGTTGACGGAGGACATTGGCCTGGCCATTCAACTTCACACAAGCATGTTAACATAAGGCGCAGCTGAGCAAGCATCTGTTGGAAGAAATATGTAATATTTAAACAGCTACGATGACAAAACTCGTAGGCGCCTACGATTTTTGCCCTCTGGCTTAGTTGAAATTTGTCGTACAGTATCCGGGCCACATAAATGCCGTAGTACACTTGAAGCGATGACATGGTAAAATATAATAGTTTTATGAAACTTCGAGTTTTATCACTCTGCAGCTATTTGAAGGGCCCAGGTGCCGCTGGCAGTAAAGCCCCTGGAGCAGGGGCGTTCTTCGACTTGAACTCGTCGCAAATCTGCTCCATTGTTACGAACTCAACACCCTCGTGCTTCTTCATATGCTCAATAAGTCTCTCATGCATCAACAAGGCGTGCGGGCGACCCGATACATCTGGATGAATCGTCAATGGAAAAATGAACTCGTCATACTCGCGATAAAAGTAGTCGAAATGGTCGCGCCAGATATCCTCAACATCACGTGCGTTCACAAATCCATGGCTGTTGGGAGCGTTCTTGATGAACAGCATGGGAGGTAAATCGTCAAGGTGCCCTGTGAACAGAATCAGCTCTTGCAACACAACAAAGCAGGTACAGTGGCCGGGCCTCACAGTTTGCAGGAATCTCAACTAGGCCAGTCTCCTCGCCCTTCACACAAGGGCGCATCCAGTCACTTGGCTTCTTGGAGTAGTCTATCTTGGTCCACGAGTCGCCAGTGCGCAGGTAGTAAGGCTGGCAGTCATGGTGGCTCATGCTGTGATCGTACTCGATGCCGTAGTCGAGCAGAAGTTGAGCTCCCTCCCTGCTTGTTTCCCACCACGGCGCAACACTTCCACGAGGGGGCTTGCCGGTAAACTCGGTAAGCATGCGGTACGTCTTGTCCAAAATGTCCCTCTGCTGGTCGATGCTCAGGCGGGTAGGGTTCTCGTGGGAGTACCCGTGCAGTCCAATTTCGTGCCCAGCATCTCGAACTGCTGCCATGTCATCTGGGAATGTCTCGAGGCTGTGACCCGGAATGAACCACGTTGCCTTGATGTCATATTTGGCAAGAAGCTTCAATATGCGCTGCACTCCCACAGTCCCGGCAAAGTAAACTGCAGAAGGATTAGAGAGATGCAAAAGCGGCGTCAATAATGGCAGTACCTCTGCTGATGTCGTTGGATGAATCCTCGCCCCCGTATGACCCGAGCCCTGGGCACAGTTAGAACACTCTAGGAATGTAGGCCTACAGCTGCTTACATCCCGCTACTGCATCGACGTCAACACCATAAGATACCAAAACTCTCTTCTTGGCCATCTTGAAGCTGCAGAATTATCGGGTCTGAAAGTGTCTTGTCAGGTTTCACCGCGGAGGGGACGGGGATGCGGAACCAGCGGGTATAAACATGGGGTTGACCGTGCGCGTTCATTGTGTCACCTTAACGGTTACATGCATCCTGTTGGTGCGACAAGGCGGTGGATCTAGAGATGGAGTCAGTCGCTTAGGAATTGGGGTTGACAAGGGCCGAGTTGGAGAGCAGGATAATGACCCCATCACATATCTCGGGGCATAACTTTGTAAGACTTGGGCGCCACAGCCTGGTATTGGACGCCGACTTGAAATGCAGCTGAAGTGTATAGACATGTCAAAATACAGAGCTTGTGGCTGCGAGCCGATTTTCCACACGGGACACTGCGAAATCCGATGTCATTGATGATGGCGCCAATTATTCCCACCATAATGAGAGCAGCTCAAATCTCGGAGGTGTGTCCCGCCTATCGCAACGTGACAAGTGTGCGTCATATTGAAACAGACGGCAGTACGGTAAACCATATCAGATAGTCAAGAAGACTGTCCCCGAGATCCAAGATAACGAAGTTCTCGTCAGAGTACATGCCGCTGGATTTCGCCACTCAGATCTTCAGGTCCTCCAAGGGCAGTTCGGTTCGCCCCTGGGCATGATTCCATCTCACAAACCTGCTGGTGTTATTGCACTGGTTGGCAAACACTGCAATAGAGATTGGCATAAGGGAGATCGTGTTGGCGTGCTCAACTTCACATTGCGCTGGTTGCAATCTCACACGGCGGACCACCAAGCGGCTTGATCCTAGGTTCTGCGACAAACGGGAGACGGCCGGCTTCCATCATGATGGCGCGTTTGCAGACTACATGGTTGCTGACCCTGATACAATAGTTCGTCTTTCCCCTTCTCTCTCCATGGAGCAAGCCGCGCGGTTAATGTGCGTTGGTGCCACTGTCTGGGATCGCTGGAAAAGGCGACGGCCGGACTTGCTACTGGCGAGACTATCACAATTGTGGGAATAGGGGGCCTTGGACATCTGAGCGTTCAATTGTAAGTTCCCCCCGTAGCCGCAAGCTCCATCAGGTCGGGGTTGCTCACTTAAAGTGAACATGAGTGCGGCCGCCATGATCTATCGCGTAGTAGCAGTTGACAACCGCCCCGCGGGACAGACTTGCCAGGGAGGTACCAGACGCCTTGCAGCCGGCTTTGATAGTTGACTCATCCGAAGATGCGGTTGCTGTGTCGCAAGTCAGGACTTGACAAACGGCGAAGGAGTTGCCGCCACCGTGGTGTGTACCGACGCCGGCGCGGCCAACGACTTCGCGCTCAAGATATTACGAGTACGGGGTGTGATGGGCGCTCTCGGCTTACTGGCTAATGGCTGGCACTTTGATTCCAGTGCGGTTGTCTTCAAAGAAATCACAATTCGGGGAACCTATGTTGCCAGCAGACAGGCCCCCGAGAGAATGATGGGAGTACTCCAGACAGCGGGCGTAAGATCACACGCCACAAAGGTACCCTTTGAGGGAATTCCTTAAATACTGGAAACTGATTAAGCTATTGATTTCAGAGGCAGACTGGTTGTCGACGTGGCTCAGGAAACAAGTGCTGTGTGATTCACGCGGCCCTACACGGATATTAGTAATTTAGCTTGGCTAAGATGCACTCGCCGCACCTCTCGTCCTCAAGCAGTGATGACCGAGGCTCCAATAAATGCGATAAAACTCATTTCCAGTACACTTGATACCTAACTACAGAATTACATTCTATTCTTGCAGGCTGTTGCCCACAACCCGTGAGGCTTTGCTTCATCCGGTCGACGAAGACATAAAAATCTGTCGGATAGCCCATTGGATTACATTATTGCCGCTGAGGAACCGATACCAGACTAAGATATTATCGTAAAAGCTGCCCGTCCACATCTTCTTGTAGGTTGGTATTTCGGGGCGTTGAGAATCGGGGTAGATTGTATTAGGCGGGAAAAACTAGCATTTTCCATCACCGCCTCTAGACACACTTGCTCAGGCACTACTAAGGGCTGGCTCAGTGAGCCATATTTCGCTTAAAATTCACTTACATACTCCAAAATCGAACGCGGAAACCACTGCATAATCTGCCCCGTGTTCCATGTTGGTCATTTGACTGCGCGCACCAGATTCCCTTCAACCACCACGCAGGGGTTGTGCTGACATCTCTTCTGGCTTGTTGCTTTGTCGAGCCTAAATTTAAGAAAAAAAAAAAAGGAAAAAGGAAAAAACACAGGAAAGGTATGGATCCTGCCTCCAAGCCTGGGAGGCAGAGCCTCTCGCCAGGCCTGGCAGCACCACAACAGATGCCATAATCTCTGTAGTCAATGCCAATATCGGAATATAACCTAAACCAAATGTCAGGGATCCGCAACGTGAGATGTTTAGGTGTAACAAATTTGAACTATTTCCATTTCCGAAATATGGAAAGTCAAATATAGTTCCTGTGAACAGCAACAACAACAACAAGGCCACAGCAGAGCGGGGATTTAAAAAAAAAAGACTACAAGCCGGATAGTGCGTTCTGCTTGCGAGGCTTCCGATTCCGATGCAATAGGAGCCCATAATGCATTTAGACCCTATCATTGCCATCATTAGAACTTGGCATAATTTGCACAACTCAGGGTAGCTCATGGCTTACTCAGGGGGCCTCAGAACTGCTCGCTGAGGCTCTGGGGCTAAGCAGGTTAAAGCAGCAACGGCTCAGGAATCCGTTCAGGAAAGGAAGTCTGGTTGAACCACTTGGTTTTTCCCGCTTGATCTGGCAGTATTTGGAGTCTGGCGTATAACTCCATGGGGTCATTATGATGCCGGCTAGTCAAGCCACGAAATAGGGCCAAACGAAATTGACATGGTCATGGAGGAAATCCCGGCGATATTAGAGTCTAGATGTCTAAGCTTACTCCAAGTAATAGTCGGTTTCCGCCTCACCGGAGTGTCTCTTCCATCACTCTGAAGACACATCGTCAATGTATCTTTGGACGCTCAATTCTTCTCTCTACCGTTGGATCCACGCTTCTGATTATGTACTTAACTGAGAACTTACACTGATCCCGGAACGTCCCGGCAGGTTTAGTGGTTTCAAGCACCGTATGAAGCCTTCGACAACCCCAGGCCGATTCTCTTATCTGAAGATCCAAGAGTTTCAGGCTGAGCCCCATTTCACCGCAATGTCCGTCTTCTTCAAGAATATCTCAAAGTACGTATCTTGAAGAAAAATTAACATGTAATCGTACTCTCGTTGCTAAATCAACCTTCAGAGACAATCCTGTCAAGCCCGGTAATGTGCGAATGGTTTTAGAGCCACTCAGGCCCTAATCCTATAAACCGCGACTAACGGTTAGCCGGCTGAAAACACAGCATAACACGTATATATATAGCGCTTACTTATTTTTAATAAGAAATTTATATATAAAGTTATAAAGAAAACCTATATTATTTATAACCTTTTATTTATAATATATTAGGTTAATAAAAATTATATAAATACTTATAAAAGGCTTAATTATTAAGTTTTTAATTAATTTTAAAAGTTAAAAGTAATTCGCGAAAACGTGCTAAATACTATTATACTGCTAATTAGCTAAACCTAGTATAGCTGTACGAGGGAAAACCCCTACTATCGTGATGTATCTTCTTCAGCTGGCTGACGATCATCCGCGGTTTATAGGATCAGGGCCTAAGAAGTATCTACGAGAGAACGTGCGTCTTCCAGGACCGGGTGAGCAGGATTTCGGCAATGCCTGGGTATACCGCTTCCGATTCCAAGGCGAGAACTACCCCAAAGGCGGCAACGTCTCACTAAAGGGCAAGACTGTCTGTGTCAAAGACTGCATCTCAGTCGCCGGGGTGCCTCTAAGTTTTGGAAGCAATGCCTTCCCGGCGTGGACACCGGAGGCTGATGCCACCATCATCACCAGAGTGTTAGACGCTGGGGCGGATGCCGCAGGCACAGCAACATGCGAGAACTTTTGCAACTCGGCAGCGTCATTCACCAGTGCACAGGGTATTATCCATAAATCTTACCAGACTGGATACTCGGCAGGCGGCAGCACCTCCGGCGGCGCGGCACTAGTCGGCTCTGGAAGTGTTGATATCGCCCTCGGCACCAATCAGGGCGGGAGCATCAGGGTTCCGGCCTCATTCTGCGAATGTGTCGGGCTGAAACCAGCCCATGGTCTGGTGCCTTTCACCGGCATAGCCAGCTGTGATCCTATTGATGACCATGCCGGACCAATCTGCAAGTCCGTAATGGAGACGGCAGTATGCTTAGATGCCAGTGCAGGCTATGATGACATAGATGACCGGTCTCTTGGCGCTGGCCAACATGGCTCTTTTGGATTTTCCGCGTCACTTTAACAGGTCGGTCCACGCCTAAATGAAGTCAAAGTTGGCTTACTCACGGAAGGTTTCCACATTAAAATGATTGATCCTAGAGTACGAGATCAGGTTCTGGCGGCGGCAGAAAAACTCGCACGTCTTGGGGCTGTTTTAGAGGACGTTTCTATTCCGCTCCATCTGCAGGGACCGGCCGTATGGACAATTCAGCGGCGTGTTTCCGGTTCCTCGGGTCTCCTGGGCGGTGCTACAGGTCGAAGAAGTCTGGGATTAACCGGGTTGGAGACGGCACGGCTGCCTTGGAGTAACTCAAACTTCCAGAAGCTCTTCCCGTCAACAAAGAATACTCTGATCAACGGACTCTACCTATCTGCCAAATTTCCTGGCCTGTATAGAAAAACGCTCAATATTGGCCGTCAGATACGCGACGAGTACCAGTGCGCCTTTGACAAATACGACGTCATTATCTTGCCCACAACGCCATTCGTTGCGCCGCGGCATGCGGACTGGAAAACAGTCCTCGAGTCCTTTGAGCCCACTATTGGTTTGACCACCAAGACGGCTGTGCTTAATGTCACAGGACATCCGGCCATGTCGATTCCTGTCGGGTTTCTTTCCTCTGCGGACGATCAAAATGTTCGACTGCCAGTCGGCATGCAGATCGATGGCAGGAGAAGAAGGTGCTCATGGTTGGACATGCCTGAGAGACAGATTTTGACTGGCGCAACTTCTCCGGAGGACAATTGAATACTGGATTTCGGAGAGCTCGAAAAGGTCAAGTTCCTCGCACTTGCTGATTCGAGTGCTCTGGAGATGGGTAACTAGTCTTGCTCTGTGGTCAAGAGGTATAAAATATTGTCATGAAGAACACAAAGCCACAATCGCAAGATCTGACGCGGACATGGAGTCACAGACGCTATTTTATATTATCACGCATCTAGAATATAAAGCATTAGAGTTAGAGTTCAACTACATAAGCGACCGTCACTTCATTCTTTGCATTCTTAGTTTATCGTGTATCCCCCGTCCACTACCAAGGCATGACCTTGTATGAACGACGCTTGCTTTGAGCACAAGAACAAAACCGCATCAACAATCTCTTCTGGTCTCCCCATACGACGCAGCGGCGCAATGTCGATGGCTGGTCTGAGGCGTTTTATAACCTCATCAGAGCCCGTTGTCATGGGTGTTTCGATGACGCCGGGACATACACAATTCACTCTGATGTTATCCAATGAGTAATCTATGGCATCAGAGCGCGTCATGTTAATAATAGCTGCCTTGGACGCGCAGTATACAGGCGCAGTCGGCTGGGCCACGAGGCCTAGCTGGCTGGCAATGTTGACCACGGCACCACGCTGCTCCGGGTGCTCCGGGAGGTACTGTTGCTTAACCATCTGGCCTATAACGGCGCGCGAGACTAACCAGGATCCCTTGTAGTTGACGTTGGTGATTTTGTCGAATTCTGATACTGGTGTTTCGTGAGAGCGCAGGGATGGACCGAGGATACCGGCACAGCTCACGGCGTAGTCTATGCGAGTGAAGATCTCAGTCGATTTCGACACAAACTCACTGACAAATGTTTCGTCGGACACGTCGCCTGCTTCGCTGGAGACGCTAGCCTGGGGGTTAATCTCAAGGATGGCGGCACGAGTGCCTTCCAGTGACGTTGGATTAATGTCTGTGATGGCGAACCTGGAACACCCCGACCGGGCAAAAGCCTTTGCGACAGCCGCGCCAATACCTGCATTTGGCTCAGTATTAGCCGCTTGTGTTTAGATTGCACAGGAGCAGAGAGAAGTGATGCAGACCTGTGCCACCCGCACCGGTGATGAGTGCCACGCCTGGGAGTCTAAACATGGTGTCTGATCTCGTGTATTACCGGTTTGACGCTCACATACGATACATTTGATATCCAGATTACTTTGGCGCAGTAGTCCTTATCAACACTAATGGTATCTTTTTGCGATTGACTACAATCTGCCCCTCTCTGGGTATTGTTTGCAAACAGCCCAAACACGACACTCCGTCCTTTCCGGCCGGGATAAACCCGAGAGAGCACCTGAGCGCTTGGGGATAGATATTTGGGGTAGTTATGAGTCAGACCCAACCAATAAAGTTTCATTCCTGTCTTTAGGCTGATTTGGTGGATTGGGGTACGGAGCACTGTTCCGGAGTCTCCCATAACTCCCCCAAGATCCCTCCAACTCCATTGCCATTCCGGCGTCCCCAACGTCATCACTCCATGTTACAGTGCATATTGTAATGCGTCAGATTTGATGGTGTCCCAGAGCGACCCTGTACGCAAGCGCAGACGCCGAAGAGAGCCTGGAGACAGACTCTGTCCACATTCCGGTCGCTCATTCAAGCGGACCGAGCATTTGGAGCGGCATGTGAGAACCCGTAAGCACTGTTTGCCCCGTACCCCAAAGCGATACAAAACATGTCTTGACTCTTTGCAGATACAAAGGAGAAGCCGTTCGGGTGTCATCAATGCGGAGTAGCATTTGCGCGGCGCGACTTGCTGACGCGTCATCAGCGCATCACTCTGCACGAAGATGTACCCCAAGAGAGCCCAGAAGGCGCAGACGGGACACCAAATACCCCGGCCGGCCAACGTCTGAACGGCCCTGTATGGCTTCAGGGGTCGAATGTCGGCAACTTGGCGGCGCACCTAGAACCCGGAGCGGAAGCCGGGCTTGGGTCGGCGCCGGAGCAACGGAATATCGGACATGGAAACGGTCCCGCTCCGGATCCTGCACAGCCTTTGCTCTTCCCACACCTCTACAGTCACGGTGAGTTTAGTATTTCCGACTCAAGTATGGGTTTGTACAGCCAGGCCCTCTGACTTGCGCCCGTGTAGAAGGCATAGAGCTGGATGCGCAATTCCACGATTTCACCAGTTTCCTCGACGGCGTTGGCTTGCCGACGGAATGGAGTCCCTACTTCCCTAGACATGAGGTGTACGAGCCTGTAGATCCCGCCCTTGGAGGGAATGGATCATCTCGGCCGGGTACAGCGACACCAAGGAGTCGTCCAGAGACGCCACTCAACTCCTGGCTGCCATCAGCACCTGGGCAGCCCAATCATCTTCACATTGTCGAATACAGGGCGTCCGGTGCATCACGAGCCGATCCTCAGCCCTACAGGGTTTCTGATCTGGTACACGCTCACCTTCAGGAATGTTGCGAAAGCTTCCGAGAAGTCCTCGACCAGGACTTTGTGTTCCCTTCCCGCCACGCGCTCACACGCTACATATCATCCTTCTTCGATGGGTTTCATCCCCATATGCCCTTTATTCATTGTCCCACATGGCGCATGTCGGACCATTCCATGGAACTCATCCTGGGTCTTGCCGCCATTGGAGCGCAGTACTGCTTTGAGCATCGAAACGCCGAGAAGCTGTTTTATGCAGGCAAGGCTATCCTCATGGATAGACTCGTGCACAACCTGAATAAATTTGGGCCCAATACCAGACCCTTTCTGAATCTGCAAGGCGTGTCCAGTGGCGAGAGGACTGCACAGGCTCGCGGGAGCGACTGGGACGCCTGGGAGCCCATGGAAACGGTGCGTGCACTCATTGCACTCATAGCCTACAGTACGTGGGAGATGAAGGTCAGTCTGCTGCACGAGGCCTTTGCTCTCCAGGGCCTACTTGTCGAAATCTTGCGGTACATTGGACTCGGTGAGGATGAGGGCCAGGCTGATAACGGAGCACCGACTGACGACGAGGAAGGTCTTAAGGCAGCCTGGCATGCCTGGATTCGTCAAGAGGTAACACGACGCTCCAAGTTGGTGGCCTTCTCTTTCCTGCACACGCACAGTATCGCGTATAATGTCTACCCCGTGTTACGGACCAACGAGATAAATCTCAGATTGCCGTGCTCTACCAGGGAATGGAAAGCCACGACAGCCCTGCAGTGGCAGCTCGCGAGACATGAGACTCCCAAGCAACAGCAGTTCTTCCAGGATGCACTATCGCACTTGCTAAGGAATCGGGACGGTGCCGCGCCGTTGGATCCTATCCCGACACCCTTGGGGAACTATGTCTTATTACACGGCCTCCTGCAACGGATACACATTGTTCGCGACCTTTCCCTGCCTGTTATGGATCGCCTAGCGTCTCTGCCTGCCGAGGAGGTTGAAAAGCTAGAGTAAGTACTCACCAGAAGGATCCTTGCATTACTTGTTGTGCTGTGGCGTTGACGGGCGTAACTAGGCGCGGCTTGCGATCATGGACGTCAGGCTGGCAGCAAGCCCCCGAGTCCAGTTTGGATCCTAATAATGAGAGCGGACCCATCCCATTTACCTCAAGTTCACTTCTAGGCTTGGCTTATGCACGTATATACTTGCATTTGGGCCCCCATCGCCAACTAGATACCCGCGATCCCGTACGAGTTGCCCATGCCATCTCCAGGGCTCCCGCAGTAGAGCGCAGCACTGGCGTTATCTCTGCTTTGCTCTACTCGGCGCACATGCTAAGCATACCGGTACGGCTAGGAGTATACCGTGCTGCCAGAAGCCAAGCATTCTTCTGGAGCGTGAGGCACTCGCTTGCTGTCCTCGAATGTGCCATACTGCTCAGCAAATGGCTGTCCTCCGTGGCAGCGTCAACGCCGACCACGCCCCTCAGCGGTGCGTCATGTAGCCCCCCCTCCTCCCCATTCAAAGAAGAAATGGTGCTGACTAGCTAAATAGATGGCGAGGACAAGATTCTGCATTGGGTTCGATGCATTGTTGACGAGGCTTACACGGCTATTGAGTTTGATAACGACGATGCTGATCCCCAGACCCTGGACCGCAATCCTGCAACACTTAGTCTGGCGGTCCTCCGTATCTGGGCTCACTTTTTTGAGAGTAATACCCAGTGGCCGTTTATTAACATGATTGGTACGAGCATGAAGAAGTATCGAGAACTCTTGATTCGAAGTAGGCGAGCCACTTGAACCTATAACCTGTTGGTTATAGAAGACCGTAAGGCAGTCAACATCGAAGAATTACCCCAGAGGGGCTACGCCGTTCTGCTGGGTTTTTTCTCTTGCCCATCTGTGGCTCCGCCCATGGCAGCGCGAACTCTGACCCTATCTCCCGACCTCGGGGCAAAATCCGCGTCTTTCCATTGAACACACGGAATAGGGGTCCGACGCAAGGATTCCATAATCTTTTATGTCCTTAAGAAGAAGAGTCCCTGCTCTTCTGCTCTTGGCAAATTCAATGGGCCTTCCCTTCTCATTGGAGGCAGGCCGAGAGGAACGCGCCCAGAATACTCGACGATGCACCTTAACAATATTACCAATAGCCGGCGACGAGCGGCCCTGTGTCACAGAAGCACTGACAAGCGCAAGAGCTATCTACCTTGGCAAATTTTAACGAAAGACTCGAGCTACCACTCAGCTTCTCCATTCTACTCCAGCTATGAGGAGCCCATCCACCACCTCGGAGGTACTAATACGACCAAGTAGTACTATCGTATGCTTAATGGATTTGTCAACCCTAAGCTAAAGCAGAAACAGTGCTGATATTAAAGCGCCTGTAAAAACCGATAATACCGGCTTTTGACACAGATGCAGCACAATTGAAGTTGGACTGCAAGCTTTTCGACAGGTTTAAACGCACCCAACTCACCCACTCTAAGCGGCGTAAACCATGGCGCATGTGATGACACTGGCGTTGCAGAATTTGGCGAATGGCCCTTGCATAACGTCTTTTAAAGTGAGCCAAGGTAAACACGGCCAGGTATAATTTAACTTGAACTAAAGTGTTAAACACCCGAATTTTTTTGAGGCAATGGCAAAAAAGAACAACACATGTGGAGTTATTTTTTCAAGGTGTGAATATAGGGTTTAGCCTTATTTCAATTCCATCACTCAACATCACTTGCTACATGACAAATAAATTATGCATGACCTGACATCAAGTCTATAGATCAATTGATTATTGCCGATCCATCCCACGTTACTGGCCGTTGCAGCCAGTCTGACTCGACCTTTGCGACAGACACGACTCAGCTCTTACTTGACCAGCCTCCCGTGATCTCCTGCCTGTCTGTCTTGACTCGATATCCTACGTGACTGACCAGTGCAACTGACATGCCTTGACCGCCTACATCGCTGACTTGACTCGACCTCCCACCTTGCGGACGATTGCATCTGATCTGGCTAAGCTACTGGTCAATACAAGCCGAAGATAAGTGATAGATAAGTCATTAGCCGCAGCCGGACTGTAACATCGCCTTACCCATACCGTTGCTCCTGACTACCCTCTCGCGCCAACTTAAATCCCATCGCAGCTAGGTTTCCCCAACATTCAAGTACTTACGTCAAGATAATATGTCACAAACGTGTAATACGTGGCGTATTGCGCTAATGGCTATCCGTGATTCGATCGAAGGAGGATCAATATGGCCGGCCGGATTACACAGAGCAAGGTCACGCAGGCGATCGGCGGCTGAGATGGTGTGAATGTCATGAGTCTTATAATCCAATAGTGCTTTACGTAAACGCAACTGTTTGAAAATTGACTACATCAGAATCACCGGTATGTATCATCCAGCGCGGCACAATCATGACCCCAATCCATGAGTATTTAAGTCGGGCGGCTTCCCGAATTCTCTTCACGTATATCACACACACACTTTAATTTCTTTCCAAGACCTTGCCTACACTTTTCCCCACTATCAACTAGTCATCTCCGACCGAGTAACTCGAAATGGGTATCAATGAGAAGCTCATCAACGATCTAGTCGCCAAGGCAGCCAAGGCCGCGGAACAGGGCACAAAGTTAAACTTCGAAGATCCCGATGAAGCCGGGCAATACATGCTTTCGATACTCGCAATGGCCACTGGATCTATCCCTGTAGTTGGAACCAGCCTGAGCGCGCTCACTGGCCTTCTTAGTAGCGTCCTTTTCCCGGACAATTCGACAGAGAAAATCTGGAAGGCACTTCGCGAGCGCATTGAGCAACTAATTGACACCAAAATTGAGAAAGAATACCTCAGCACTTTAGAAAAGACGATCCAGGGTCTTGACGATAATCTGGATCTCTACGGCCAGCAGTCGGAGGTATTCAAAAAGGCGTCAGGGAACCAGAAACAGATAGCGGCTCGCGCTCTTGGCACACAACACTCTGCATTCCGGACCAGCCTTTTACTAGTGATTCCGCTATTTCAGGCCAAATCTCACCAAGTTGCCTCGCTTCCTTGGTTTGCCATCGCGGCCAACATCCATCTTCTGCTATTGCGGGACGGTATCAAACACGGCAAAGAGTGGAACTATTATTCTGACGGTAATATTGAAAACATGAAGAAAGACTTCAAGCATTGGACGTCGCCGGGCTCTGCTCCCACAGAGCATCGCAAAAGCCTATCGCAGGAAGCTTCTTCCCTTAAGAAGGCCATCAGCGAGGGCAAGAAGTTAGGTTTGCCCGCCAAGCTACTCGAGACATGGCAAACGACCTACGATGAATCCGACGAGAATTATGACGACATTCCCAGCACTCACATTGACTATGTCTCCTATGTAAAACAGGTCTACGAGGAAGGACGCAAGAAAGTCAAGCCGTACCCGCCAGTCCTCCGTCCCGAGGACTTAAATATGGGCGCCGAGGTGGCTGGCAAGATGAGAGCCTACGCCGATTATGACAGGAACATGATCACGCACGTCCTCGCCTACTCTGAGCTCTGGCCCTACATGGTAGACGGAACGACCCCGCCGCAGGTCTTGAAGAACCTGGACCGCGAGGTTTTCTGCGGTCCATTCGGCCGCTATGCGAAGCACACTACATGGAGCGAGACGAGCCCACCCACCATTGACGACCGCAGGGCGGCAATCACATCCGTATATATTAGGGGCTGGGACGATGTGGATTGTGTGTGGATTCAGTACGGTGACTCATGGGGTGATTGCTATGGATCACGCACGGCAGGCGTGCTGCAGGAGCTGGCTCTTGCGCATGATGAATACATTACATCTGTTGGAGTCTCTTACGGATTCAAGCTCGGGAGCGTCAAGTTCACGTCGAATAAAAATCGAACTGTAAAGGTGGGCGATGCAAGGAATGGCGACAAGGTCCATGTCACTTCCGCGCCCAAGGGCTATGCGTTGACGAGCGTCTACATTACAAACTGGGAGTCGCATATCCCACCGGGCTGTGAGGGCATCATCTTGGGCTTCCGGCGATTGATAACACACTCGCCATGAAACTAGACTCTATAGAAGCCGGTTTGTCTTATGTGAAGACGATGGCTTCTGCAACAAAAAGGAAGATACATAAACGGCAGACGGGGGAAATGAAAAAAAATAAAAAATAAAAAAGAGACTATAGGGGTTATAAGGCTTACATTCTTTAATTACGCTCTTTTTATATGCTAATTGAATCATTTATCCAGGCTCTTGACCGAAACTGACAACATGGAAACTATTGGTAGCCTTCGTTCGCGTTACATGATAACTATGATGCGGATCCATACGCACCTTTCATGCGGGTTCATGCTGTCGCGCAGTCGTATGGACCATATATAGCTAATAGAATCTGTTAGACGCCTCCAAGACAGCTCAAAGCCTTTTTCAATGGCTCAAGTGGTTATATGAGCAGCTATTTTACAGGAAAAGAGATCTATAAGTTGTTGTGCCTGGAATGATTATACAATTTTGAAACGTCGGCTGACTATTATCCAAACTACTGTCAACTTGGCAGAAGCGGGAGCTCACGATCCAACCATTCAACTTAACAACGAATTCTTGTACGAGGAGGAAAGTCACCGAAGGCCAGGCTACATTCGCAGTCTTATAACTTGCTAACATCGTGTGCCAAAGTTGGACCATAGGCTAGTTTCATTCTGGTTGTTGGCTGTTCGACGTGTGGTGCAATCCGCGTTCCACACTGTGGAATATATATGGGTGGCGTCGAAGAATTTCCGTGTTGGATAATTTTCCGGGCACAAGAACCATAAGGTCAAGCTCTTGTTGCCTTCCATACACGCCTGAGTGATATCCCACAGTAATGAGTGGACTTTTTCCCCACCCGCTGCCTGTGACAAGGAGCCAAGAGATAGGGGCTTGGAATGACAGTTTTACTCAGACTAATAATCAGCTTTGATTTAAAAGCCCTTGGTTTTTCTAAAGCACGAGATAACCAAAGAGCTACTATTTATACAAGGAGTCGGTGAGGCCCCAATCTAGGTTCCGTGACGCTCTTTGTGTGACCGTTGTTGACCCAACAACCTTTGTTGGTGGCCTAACTGTGTGACACTGCCCAACGATGTGCCGGACGCACGGCGCATCTTGACAAGAAATGGCTAATACTATGTTCAATATCTAGCGAACTCTCAGCTACACTACCCATCAGCTTCATAAATGAGTACATGTCATATGGGAGCCGCTCTTCGCCGACGCAATATATAAACTGTATTTTACCAAGCATCAGGGGTATTTCTCAACTTTGATATTGGGTGACGTGCGTGCTGTCGGGGGAGCTGTCACAAATGCTACTTCGATGCAACTGGGGTGATGGGGATGGCGATTGGGCTGGAGTGCGCACCTCACGGCGAGAGGCGAGAAGAGTCATGAGGTCAATAGCTTGGATGCATAGAGCGTGCCACAAGACACTCTCGCTTCCAAGCAATAGAGCATAGTAGCCTTGCTTTGGGAAGAAATGCATATATGTGCTTTTCAAGCACAGTAGTTCCCATTAACAAAAGCAAAAGATGCAGCGTGCTGTAATGCTGATAATCAAGGGGACGTCTATGTTGCCCTCCAATACTGTGACTTTCATGCCGTCTTGGGGTGACAGTCTCTTGAAAGCGGGCAGCATATCGATTGGACGACCATGATAGATGTGACGCACGCGTTGCAGTCGCTTACTTACGTGAGTCACCACATGCATAATATTAACAATCCTCAAGAGCTGTCTGCCTCTTACGGGTCGCTGTTCAGCTGTCGATGGATTCAATACCACCATCTGATGCACGGTGTCTCTCCCAGCCTTGGTATATGTTGGAAGGCACAGAAATTTCGGCTGGTCAAAGGTGAGGTGCCATGTTTGACAAGACGCACCCGCGGCAAAGACTGTACCGCCAGTGTGCCCAAGTCGCTAATCACTTCCCAGAAAGGCTAGATTCTATATCTCGTCAATCTTTTATTGAAAAATTATCCGAAGTTGACTAAATGCAAGGGTGAAACAACGTAGTCCCGCGAAATATAAATAGGCATCGTCTTTCTCTTGTACGCTACTGGCAAAGGTCAACACAGACTTCTTGATTAATAGCCACTACAAATATGCACATCTCGGCCCTGATTCTGCCAATCCTCTTCGCCACCATGAGCTCTGGCGACAGACGTACCCAAAATGTTTCAGACATGGGCGAAAGGGTAGCTGGTGGTCAATTTGATTCCAACACCTGGTACCGCCTTACCAACACGTATCTTGGTTACTCCCAGTCTCTTGACGTCGAAAATGACAACGGCGCCAACAGCAGTGGCACTTTGATGATGGCCGCATCCGGCAGTTACTCTGGACAATACTGGCAGCTTATTCCCCAATCCCCTGGGGTCTATAAGCTGCGTACAGAGTTCCTTGGCCCCGATCGGGTGCTTGATGTATGGGGAGACGATAAAACTAAGCCGCACCTAGCTGAAGAGGGGAACTACTCTGGACAGCTCTGGACTATAGAGAGCTGGGGCGACGGGACATGGAAACTGACAAACTCATATTCGGGGCCGGACTTGCATTTGGACACATACTCGGACACTCACGAGCCATTCCTGGGGGACGGCGACCATACAGGCCAGCATTGGAATATCAACGCCATCGAAAGTATCTCGGGGTAACAGTCTTTTGAATGTTCATTTCATAAGTAGAGGGCAGGGCCGCTTCGGTAACGGGGGATATGGACCTTGTGCTATATGAGATTGAGATACAAAAGTTCTTCCAGTTATTATTAATGTAATATCTGACCATTGCTTTGAGTTTAGTTATCTTACAAATTTCTTGCTATCAAATCATGGGGGACGTGACTCTGGAATACTTACCTAATTCAAGCGCAAAGGTTGGGCAAGAAAAAGGACGCCCGATCCAGTTTTAAATATCGTTGCCACATGCTTAGACAGGAATCCATGACTATCGCAACTTGCGGACCGTGTCAAGACATATTTTACGATACCAACTGCATAACTCGGATGAATCGGGATTATCAACTTTTTCACGTCAACGTAATTACGTAAATATTAACTTTAAATCCTTTGAATGGTAAAACTCTTGGCGACTGTGCTAGTGGCGTAGACGCGGACACCGGCCATGCCCATGCCCTTCTTGCCAAGTAGGTCGAGTCGTGGTACTGGTCCCTGGTTGCCGTTGGCCCAGACGTGGCCAGTGCTTCGATCATTCCATGTCGCGACCAAGATGTTAAAACAGCCAACATTGAACATAGTAGCCCGAGCATTAACCGGTACGCCTTTCGCAATCAATTCCCCGGCAAGTTCTGCTAACTTCTCAAGTTGTTATTGCTGCCCCTGTCGTCCATATAGAGCAACAAGCAATGCAGCGGTGTCCAGCCCTCGGCTGCGTAGGCGAGGGGATCAGCTCCATCATCTATGATGATTCTTGCCGTCTGAAGTGCTTTGTAATGACGCGGCACACAGGTCTGAACTGCAGCTGACGGGGCTAGGACACACATCAACGGGGTCCAGGCCTTGTCGTTGGCAGCATTGACATGGAGAGCTGTTCGGTCTAGAAGAGTGTGGTAGCGCTGTTGTGAAATCTGATCGTTTCCTGGGGCCGTCTTTTCGCATATTCGACTGAACATGTCACGGCCCATATAGTTGAGGATGGAGGTGGCATTATTGTTTGCGTAGATGCCCCAGCCTGCTTGGTAAAAGGTTTGCTGACCAGCATTATGACTACGCGCGATTCACAGCCTCAGTTGGCCCTATCTTGGATCGCGTGCTAGATGGCATTTCATAGCCTCCAGTCACATCACTTCATACCCCTCCACTGTAATTCTCTTTATCTTTATCTGCATTTTTCATAGTCAATTTAACTTACATGCAGCGTTCCAAGTCAAAGGCGTTAAATTATACCGTGACATTACGAATTTTTCAGGGAGGAATACATCTGATTTTGCCAAAATGCAGTTATTTTCACCTCTGTGGTCACACCTTTAGTGCAATGAAGCTACATATAATAAAAACATATTCTAACGCTGATTACGCGGCAAAGAAAAAAAAAAGGGCAAAAGTTCATAGTTATGATAACACAACGTCGCGCTCCCCTTTGTGGCCTAGCCACAACCATTATTGTGTATTAGCTGCCTTGCTAATGTGTTGCATTCTAGATGATACAGGAAATTTACTTTTTCTTGGCTTTCCTTGGTTTGGAAGGTTTAGAACGCTTGGATATTCCTTGAGGTTTTAATGCGCCTGCAGGCTGCCGTCTCCTTTGCCGCGAAGGCTTTGAGCTCTCCTCAGATGAAGGCATTCCAGCCTTTTTGGCCTTGTCCTGGATTCGTTTGCTCCTCCTTGAGGTCAAGCTAACTGGGTCTTCCTCATCCATCACGAGGTCCTTCTTGGCTAGTAGAGTGATGCTGTTAGATGTGAGTCCAGTGTCAGCATTTTATTCCACATTGAATTTCTCTAATGGTACGGCCAGGGCTGGGCTTGACTGGAGCCTCCGACTTGATCTGTCCCTAGTTCGAGATGAATCATGTTCCACGTGATTATATACAGTATCATGATCGTTATTCTCTATGCTTTTAGTTATGCGTGCTTGTGAAGGTGCTTCTGCTGAAGAATTCCGTCTCTCACTAGTCACCCCGATATAACTCTCGACCTGTGTCTGCATTTCCTGGCGAGGCGGTACATGGGTATTAACGTAACCGAATTCGTTTGGGCGCAGTACCCTTGGCTTAAGCTGGTTCTCGCGAGACTGCGCCTGATCTGGTGAAGGATCACGGATGGGCGGCATTACCAGGGGCCGTTCATGTTTCCACGACATTCCACACCATGATTCATCCCATATGGCCCATTTGATCCAGGCTTGTTGGACATTCGAGAAGGCCAATACGTTAATATCGAGATTAGTGGTCACGGTATCGCTGGAATTGGCCTCAAGGCGTTTACTCTCCCTTCGAAGCTGGTAGAGGAATTGCTCGAATGGGTGGGAGGCGTTTCTCTCTCTCACGGATGGCTTTCCTTATTTCTCGCTGCGCAGCGGCTTCCCGAATTTCTTGGTCGGATTTCTTTGATCGTGGTCGTGGAGGTGGGGGATTATTCCCGAAATAAATGCGACCTGCAGGATGCGGCGTCTTAGGTTCGGATTCCGAATCAGAACACGGGTCAGACTCGGGAGGCTCTTCGTGCTTCCAGTTACCCATAGGGATTTTGCTCTAGCTTTCTCTCCATATACCTTGCTCTACCTATCTCTCCTTGAGTCTTTGATGACTAATATCGTCAGCGCCGCGGCCCGGGCCCACAATGGGATCTTGTTACACTTTAGAGGGCACTAATTATAATAATAATATATATATACAAGTTTATATTTAGTTATAAAAGAGAAGATTATATACGCTTTTTTTATAAGTACGCTTATTATTATAATTATTTACTTATAATTAAGGGTTTACTTATATCTTACCTTTTCTTAACGTTTTAATTAATATAATCTTTTATTAATTAAAAGCTAATTTATTAACCTTTTATTTATTAAGGTAAGTTAAATATAAGTTATACGCAGAGCATTAAAAAAGTGTAGTTTTATAGTTTTTAGTGAAATTTAGTATAGTATAATGTAATATAATTTTATTATAGTATATTATATTTTTAAAATTAGTGTAATATATAGTATTAATTAATTTATAAGCTATTATTAGCTAATATA